TCAGCTGCACGGTGAGCCCCACGCCTCCCCCTCATGTACCTCAGCTACAAGGTGAGCCCCACCCCTCCCCACATATACCTCAGCTATAGGGTGAGCCCTACACTTCACCTCATGTACCTCAGCTACAAGGAGAACCTCTTACCTCTCCATCATGTACCTCAGCTACAAGGTGAGCCCCACCCTTCCCCACATGTACCTCAGCTACAGAGTGACCCCCACACTTCCCCTCATGTACCTCAGCTACAGGGTGAGCCCTACACTTCCCCTCATGTACCTCAGCTACAACGAGAACCCCTCACCTCCCTCTCATGTATCTCAGCTACAAGGTGAGCCCCACCCTTCCCCACATGTACCTCAGCTACAGGGTGAGCCCCACACTTCCCCCTCATGTACCTCAGCTACAGGATGAGCCCCACACTTCCCCCTCATGTACCTCAGCTACAGGATGAGCCCCACACTTCCCCTCATGTACCTCAGCTACAGGGTAAGCCCCACACTTCCCCTCACGTATCTCAGCTACAGGGTGAGCCCCACACTTCCCCTCATGTACCTCAGCTACAGGGTGAGCCCCACACTTCCCCTCACGTATCTCAGCTACAGGGTGAGCTCCACACTTCCCCCGCATGTACCTCAGCTACAGGGTGAGCCCCACATTTCCCCTCATGTACCTCAACTATAAGGAGAGCCCTCTCCCTCCCCCACATGTACCTCAGATACAAGGTGAACCCCATGCCTCCCCCTCATGTACCTCAGCTACAAAGATAGCCCCTTATCTCCCCTCCCATGTACTTCAGCTACAAGATGAGCCCCTCACCCCGTCCCCCTCTGCCCCTCCCCCACATCCCCATCAGCCTCCCCCTGAATCCCACCCCCTACCCCTCCATCTTCCCATTATACCACCCTGCCCCCTTGGCCTCCCCTCCCAGCCCCTACCCTGACCTTCTGGGCTGGTGTTTCTGTCTCTGTCTCTCTCCCCACCCCCACTTCCCTCCCCTCACCGCCCCTGGGCCCTCTCCCCTCCCGCCTGGATCTGAAGCCTGCCTGGCTCCCCAGGGCAACATCTGGGAGCAGATCTTCCGCGTCTCCTTCGTCCTGGAGATAATCAACACCCTGCCCTTCATCATCACGGTGGGTGCCACCCCTCCCCTGGGCAGAGGTCCCGAGCTTGGACCCCGAGTGCAGTGGCCCCCTGACTCACCTCTGCCCCCAGATCTTCTGGCCACCGCTACGAAACCTGTTCATCCCTGTGTTTCTGAACTGCTGGCTGGCCAAGCACGCCCTGGAGAACATGATCGTAAGATGCAGCCTGGCACCCCACCGCTGCGGAACTCCGGGGGGCCACACGCAAACCAGGCCACGTACATGGGGCCCTGGGCGGATCCCTCTGCAGAACGTCCACGCGAGGTCCCTTTTGCTTAAGGTCCCGGAGAGGGGACCCTCAGCCCGTCCTGGGGAGGCCTGGTCTCTCCTGATGAGCCAGATTTCCTCCAGGACGGCCTGAGCCCCCAAGTCCAGACCCCCCCATCATCCTAACTGTACCTGGGATTCCATGGCTGAGGTCACGTCCAAGTCCTTAGTCCTCCCCAGAGGCAGAGCTGAGGTGGGGGCATGCTGGGCACTGCCCAGTGGCCCCCGGACGGGTGTGGAGGGCTGCTTGGCACGGCGTCTTTCTCGTTCATCTCTGTCATGTTAAGCGCCATGTATTCGGGGAGTTTCATTAACAGCGCATGGGCTTGCCACAGGGAGGGGTCTGTGGGCTCTTCATGGGGAGCGGGCTGGGTGGCCTGGCCTCCCCACTGGGTCCCCAGGTCCTGCCCGCTGACAGCATGCCCCCCGCAGAACGACTTCCACCGTGCCATCCTGCGGACCCAGTCAGCCATGTTCAACCAGGTTCTGATCCTCTTCTGCACCCTGCTGTGCCTCGTCTTCACCGGGTGAGGGTGGCTGGTGGGGGCACCCACGTGTGGGGGCTGGGGGGCAACCAGCCCTGGGTTGATGGGGAGTTGGGGGATCCTGTTGGGTGAGCCAGGCCCCGGGTGGTGTGTCGGGGAGTCCTGCGGAGCAGCCAACCCTGGGGTGTTATGGGGAGGGCCTGAGGGGCAGCCGGCCCTGGGGGGTTGTCGGGAGGGCCTGTGTTGTGGCCTGCCCTGGATGGGGAGCTGGTGTCAGGGGGTGTCCTACAGGGTGAGCCGGGACCCGGGAGGAAAAGGCCACCCTCAAGTTGGCAAAGGAGCGGGGAGCAGAGCGGCCTCAGATGCCCACTCCCGAGCTCTCATGTCCAGGAGGTCAGGTCAAGGCTCCGGGGGCCAGCTGGCCAGCTGCTTCTGAGCCCATGCTCCCAGCGTGGCTCTGAGGCCCGGCTCCTCTGAGCCCAGGGAGACCCTCGGCTGGCTTCCAGGTCTGCTGGAGGTGGTTCCAAGGCAGGGACTGGGCTCTGGGCCAGGGGTAGGGGGTGGGCTTTGTCCTGAGGTCCAGCTGAGAACAGGTCTAGGGACCGCCAGAGAGAGGTGGGGGGTGCCCACAGAGAGGTGGGGACTGGGGACCGGGTCAGCCACGCTGTTGGCACCCCTTAGGCTTGGACTTAGACTTGGGTGGGCTGGCGTCCCCATTAGTGAGGGGCACAGAGTGGGGGGGCTCGCTCATGGGCTCGGCCCCCCCCACTCAGCCCTGGGCACCTCTCTGGCTCCTCTTGGGACGAGGCCCCCTCACCCCCCTACCTGCAGTACCTGTGGCATCCAGCACCTGGAGCGCTCGGGCGGGAACCTGTCCCTGCTGACCTCCTTCTATTTCTGCATCGTCACATTCTCCACCGTGGGCTATGGCGACGTGACGCCCCAGATCTGGCCGTCCCAGCTGCTGGTGGTCATCATGATCTGCGTGGCCCTCGTGGTGCTCCCACTGCAGGTGGGGACGCTCCCAGGAGGGGACAGTGCACGGGGGAGAGGCGGGGGCGGGGAGGAGCGGGTGGGGACGGAGTCCTGCTCAGCGGTGGGCCCTCTGGCGAGGAGGGAAGAGGTGGGGCTTGAGTCCCCCACCCCTTGCAGCAGCCTCTCTGTTCAGGTCCCAGCCTCAGCCACCTCCCAGCTGTGAAGCCACCTGTGTGCTCAAGGCCCAGGGCCTTGACCCTGCTTGGGCCTGGCCCATGATAAACCAAACCACCAAACCCATTGTCGTTGAGTTGATTCTGACTCATAGCGACCCTACAGGACAGAGTAGAACTGCCCCGTAGGGTTTCCAAGGAGTAGCTGGTGGATTTGAACTGCCGACCTTTAGATTAGCGGCTGATCTCTTAACCACTGCACCACCAGGGCTCCGGCCCGTCATAGGCGCTCAATAAATTCAGCACAATGACCTCATTGAAGCAAGATTGTAGCACATGGCCTGGCAAAGGGACACAAATGGCTGCTGGTCCTGTTGCTTGTTTAAAGACGTGCTGAACAAATGCGTGGACTCAATGCTTGAGCAGAAAAAGCTGGAGGATGTCACAGGGCCCTGCTCTCCCCTCAGACAGGCCTCGGACACATGGCCCAAGCGTGGCCGGCATGGTCAGCACAGCAGACAGCACCACGGAGCTGCCTGCAAAGCCCTGGAGACCCTCCTGGCACCATCTGGTCCTCGACACCTGTGTTTACTGTGTGCTGTTGTTATTGTTAGGTGTCGACTCATAGCAAATTGGTTCCAAATCATAGCGACCCCACGTACAACAGAACAAAACACTTCCAGGTCCTGCGCCATCCTCCGTCGTTGCTATGCTTGAGCCCATTGTTGCAGCCACCGTGTCAATCCATCTTGTCGAGAGTCTTCTTTTTCACTGACCCTCTACTTTACCAAGCATGACGTCCTTCTCGAGGGACTGATCCCTCCTGATAACGTGTTCAAATTACGTGAGATGAAGTCTTACCATCATCACTTCCAAAGAGCAATCTGGCTGTATTTCTTCCAAGACAGACTTGTTCATTCTTCTGGCCGTCCGTAGTATGTTCATTATTCTTTCTCAACACCATGATTCAAAGGCATCAGGTCTTCTTTGGTCTTCCATATTCGTTGTCCACTTTCACATGTATATGAGGCAATTGAAAATATCATGGCTTGGGTCAGGTGCACCTTAGTCCCCAAAGTGACCTCTTTGCTTTTTAACACTTTAAAGAGTCCTTTTGCAGCAGATTTGCTAAATGCGATATGTCGTTTGATTTCTTGACTGCTGCTTCCATGGGCGTTTATTGTGGAGCCAAGTAAAATGAAATCCTTGACAACTTCAATCTTTTCTCCGTTTATGATGAAGTTGCTTATTGGCCCAGTTGTGAGGATTTTTGTTTTCTTTATGTTGAGGTGTAATCCATACTGAAGGCTGTGGTCTTTGATCTTCATCAGTAAGTGTTTCAAGTCCTCTTCGCGTTCAGTAAGCCAGGTTGTGTCATCTGCATATTGCAGGTGGTTAATGAGTCTTCCACCAATCCTGATTGGTTTGTCCATACTGTGGGGGCTTACGTGTTGCTGTGATGCTGGAAGCTATGCGACTGGTGTTCAAATACCAGCAGGGTCACCCTTGGTGGCCAGGTTTTAGCTGAGCTTCCAGACTAAGACAGACTAGGAAGAAGGACCCGGTGGTCTACTTCTAAAAAGAATTAACTGGTGAAAACCTTATGACTAGCAGTGGAACATTGACTTAATGCTGGAAGATGAGCTCCTCAGGTTGAAAAGCACTCAAAATACGACTGGGGAAGAGCTGCCTCCTCAAAGTTGAGTCGACCTTAATGACGTGGATGGAGTCAAGCTTTCAGAACTTCATTTGCTGATATGGCATGACTCAAAATGAGAAGAAACAACTGCAAACATCCGTTAGTAATAGGAACGTGGAATGTACGAAGTATGAATCTAGAAAACTTGGAAATCGTCAAAAATGAAATGGAACGCATAAACATCCATCTTCTAGGCATTAGTGAGCTGAAATGGACTGGTATTGGCCATTTTGAATCAGACAGTCATATGGTCTACTATGTCGGAAATGACAAAGAGGAATGGCGTTGCATCATCGTCAAAAAGAACATTTTAAGATCTATCCTGAAGTACAATGCTGTCAGTGATAGGATAATATCCATATGCCTATGAGGAAAACCAGTTAATACGACTGTTATTCAAATTTACACACCCACCACTAAGATAAAGAAACTGAAGATTTTTACCAACTTTTGCAGTCTGAAATTGATCAAACATGCAATCAAGATACATTGATAATTACTGGTGATTGGAATGCGAACGTTGGAAACGAAGAAGGATCAGTAGTTGGAAAATATGGCTTTGGTGATAGAAATGATGCCAGAGATCGCATGATAGAATTTTGCAAGACCAACAACTTCTTCACTGCAAATACCTTTTTTGACCAACATAAATGGTGACTATACGTGTGGACCTCGCTAGATGGAAAACACAGGAATCAAATCAACTACATCTGTGGAAACAGACGATGGAAAAGCTCAATATCAGCAGTCAGAACAAGTCCAGGGGCCAACTGTGGAACAGACCATCAATTGCTCATATGCAACTTCAAGTTGAAACTGAAGGAAATTAGAACAAGTTCACAAGAGCCAAAGTACGACCTTGAGTATATCTCACCTGAATTTAGAGACCATCTCAAAAATAGATTTGACGCACTGAACACTAATGACTGAAGACTAGACAAGTTGTGGAATGACATCAAGGACATCATACATGAAGGAAGCAAGAAGTCATTACAAACACAGGAAGAAAGACAAAACCAAAAAAATGTAAGAAAAGACTCTGAAACTTGCTCTTGAATGTCTGGTAGTTAAAGAAAAAGGAAGACATAATGAAGTAAAAGAGCCGAACAGATTTCAAAGGGCAGCTCGAGAAGACAAAGTAAAGTATTATAATGACATGTGGAAAGACCCAGGGTTAGAAAACTAAAAGGGAAGAACATGCTCGGCATTTCTCAAGCTGAAAGAACTGAAGAAAAATTCAAGCCTCGAGTTGCAATACTGTAGGATTCTGCAGGGAAAATATTAAATGACACAGGAAGCATCAAAAAAGATGGAAGGAATGCGCAGAGTCACTATACCAAAAAGAATTGGTCGACATTCAACCAGTTCAGGAGGTAGCATATGATCAGGAACCGATGGTACTGAAGGAAGAAGTCCAAGCTGCACTGAAGGTATTGGCGAGAAACAAGGCTCCGGGAGTTGACTGAATACCAACTGAGATGTTGCAGCAAATGGACACAGCACTGGAAGTGCTCAATCATCTATGCCAAGAAATTTGGAAGACAGCTACCTGGCCAACCGACTGGAAGACATCCATATTTATGCCTATTCCAAAGAAAGGTGATCCAACTGAGTGCAGAAATTATCGAACAATATCATTAATATCCCATACAAGTAAAATTTTGCTGAAGATCATTCAAAAGCAGTTATAGCAGTACATTGACAGGGAACTACCAGAAATTCCAGCCAGATTCAGAAGAGGATGTGGGACCAGGGATATCATTGCTGATGTCAGATGGGTCTTGGCTGAAAGCAGAGAATACCAGAAAGATGTTTTCCTGTGTTTTATTGACTATGCAAAGGTATTCAACTGTGTGGATCATGACAAATTACGGATAGCATTGTGAAGTATGAGAATACCAGAACAGTTAATTGTGCTCATGAGGAACATGTACGTAGATAAAGAGGCAGTTGTTTGAACAGAACAGTGGGATACTGCATGGTTTAAAGTCAGGAAAGTTGTGTGTCAGAGTTGTATCCTTTCACCATATCTATTCAATCTGTGTGCTGAGTAAATAATCTGAGAAGCTAGACTATATGAAGAAGAATATGGCCCCAGGATTGGAGGAAGACTCATTAACAACCTGTGATATGCGCATGACGCAACCTTACTGGCTGAAAGTGAAGAGGACTTGAAGCACTTACTGATGAAGATCAAAGACTTCAGCCTTCAGTATGGATTACACCTCAACATAAAGAAAAAAAAAATCCTCACAACTGGACCAGTAGGCAACATCATGATAAATGGAGAAAAGATTGAAGTTGTCAAGGATTTCATTTTACTTGGATCCAGAATCAATACCCGTGGAAGCAGAATCAAGAAATCAAATGACGCATTGCATTGGGCAAATCTGCCACAGAAGACTAAAGCAAAGATGTGACCTTGGAGACTAAAGTGCACCTGACCCAAGTCATGGTGTTTTCAATTGCCTCATATGCGTGCAGAAGCTGGACAGTGAATAAGGAAGACCAAAGAAGAATTGATGCCTTTGAATTACGGTGTTGCTGAAGACTATTGAATATACCATGGACTGCCAAAAGAACGAACAAATCTGTCTTGGAAGAAGTACAACCAGAACGCTCCTTAAAAACAAGGATGGCAAGGCTACGTCTCACATACTTTGGGCATGTGATTAAGAGGGACCAGTCCCTGGAGAAGGACATCGTGCTTGGTAAAGTAAAGGGTCAGCGAAATAGAGAAAGACCCTCAACAAGTTGGACTGACACAGCGGCTGCAACAATGGGCTCAAGCATAACAATGATTGTGAGGATAGCGCAGGACTGGGTGGTGTTTCGTTCTGTTGTACGTAGGGTCACTGTGAGTGGGAACCAACTCAACAGCACCTAACAACAACAACCAATCCTGATGTAACATTCTTTATATAGTGCAGTTTCTCAGATTATTTGCTCAGCATACAGATTAAGTATGGTGAAAGGATACAACCCTGACACACACCTTTCCTGACTTTAAACCACGCAGTATCCCCTTGTTCTGTTGGAATGACTGCCTCCTGGTCTATGTACAGATTCCTCATGAGCACAATTAAGTGTTCTGGAATTCCCATTCTTCACAATGTTATCCATAATTTGTTATGATCCACACAATCGAATGCCTTTGCATAGTCAATAAAAACGTGTGTGGACTTTCCTAATTGGAGACAAATCCAACATGCACAGCTCCCACCCGGGCAATGTGAGCCAGGGTGGACGCACACAGCCTCACCCTCCGCGCCCTTCTGAACTGGGACAATAAAGTGAGTGCCCAGTGTTCGCTCTGCCAGTAATCTGGCCATGTCGCAGGCAGCTGTTCCTACTGTGTTCCCAAATCATTTCAAGATTGGTCCTAGGTGTGGACCTGCAGCACCAAGGGCTCCTACAACCTGGACATGCAGGGGGCAGCACGTTGGGGCCATCTAGGGCAGGAGGTGGACAGGACGTCTGACCTGGGTCTCCTCGGTCCTGGCACCACCCTTGCCTGTGCCAGCCTCCTACCCAAGAGACCTCATCTTCCCACACATCCCACCGGCCCCACATTGGCCCCCTCTGTGCTGGCCGGGCTCTCAGGTCGGCGGTGCTTTGTCGCGGTCCCACGTGGGAAGGGCGCTCTCTTTGATGTCCCCCAGCCACCCTGCACTCACCCCTCTCTCGTGCAGTTTGAGGAGCTCGTGTACCTCTGGATGGAACGGCAGAAGTCAGGGGGCAACTACAGCCGCCACCGGGCGCAGACGGAGAAACACGTGGTCCTGTGCGTCAGCTCCCTCAAGATCGACCTCCTCATGGACTTCCTGAACGAGTTCTACGCCCACCCCCGGCTCCAGGTACGCCCCTGGGCTCCCCCCCGAGGCCCCCCGGTAGTCACCCTCGGGGCAGGAGTGCTGCGTGACCAGGCCAGTCTCCTAAGTGCCTCGGGCCTCGGTTTCCCTGCCTGTCCAATGGGGGGTGGGGCCAGGTGGTCTCTCATGCCCATCCACTCCCACTCTCCAGGTGTCATTCGAGGGGCCCGTTAGGCGCCGGGTGTGAACACACCCAGGACAGCAGAAGGGAGGGGAGGGCAGGAGGAGCGCCGGCTGACGCAGCCTCACCCGCAGGACTATTACGTGGTCATCCTGTGCCCCACCGAGATGGACGTGCAGGTGCGCAGGGTGCTACAGATCCCCCTGTGGTCCCAGCGGGTCATCTACCTCCAGGGCTCTGCGCTCAAGGACCAGGACCTCATGCGCGCCAAGTGAGCGCTGTGGGGGGGCTGGGAGGGACTGCAGGGAGGCTGTAGGGGGACCGTGAGGGAACCACAGGGACCACAGGGGCGGCTGCAGGGGGTACCATGGTGGGGTGGGGGGGACCACAGGGCCACCCAGGGGGACCAAGGGGGAACTGAGGGGGTACCACAGGGCCACTGGGGGGATCATGGGGGTCTGAGGGGGGACCACAGAGCCACCGTGGGGGGCAGGGGGTACTGCTGGGCTGCAGGGGGTCACTGGTCTCAGGGAGCTGGGAGGAGCTCGCAGGACCCCCTTGCCTGCTCCCTGAGACAGACTGGCTGCTGGGAGGCTGGGGGCTCTGCTGAGGTCCTCGTGGGCCAGGATTGAGTCAGTGGGGGACTGGCGCACCCAAGAGCTGCCAGCTCTGGAGCCCCTCCAGCTCAGTGCCACCGCCCGGCCCAGCCCTCTCCCTCCTTCCCTCCCCTAGCTCTGTGAGTCCCTGGTGCAGTGCCTCTCCCTTCAAGGCTCGGCTGTGGTCTACCCACCCCCAGGAACCCCTCCCCACTCACCTCAACACTCCCAGGCTGGGCTGCCCACACCCCCGGTCTCTTGGGGCCCCAGTAGGGCAGCTCTGAGCCCCTGGTGTTTTGCAGGATGGACAATGGGGAGGCCTGCTTCATCCTCAGCAGCCGGAACGAGGTGGACCGCACTGCAGCAGTGAGTGCTGCCCCCTGTCCAGCCCGCGGGCAGAGCCCCCACCTGTTGCTGCTGCTGCCCCACTGGCACTGACCCCACCCCCACCCCCACCCCCAGGACCACCAGACCATCTTGCGCGCCTGGGCCGTGAAGGACTTTGCCCCCAACTGCCCCCTCTACGTGCAGATCCTCAAGCCTGAGAACAAGTTCCATGTCAAGTTTGCCGGTATGTTTGGGGGCTGCGCACACAGGTGGGCGGGCACATGTGGGCTGGAGGAGGGCAGGGCCTTGAGCCGCATCCATGCACGCTCAATGTCATGAGGTCCCTGCGGCCGGCTTTTCCTGACTCTTTGGCTCTTCTGTCCCACCGCATGGCGGGGGAGCCCGTGTGGGGCCTTCTGAGATGAGCCATCCTCTGCCTGGGGGCCCAGGTTAGTGAGGGCGGGAGCACTGGTGAGCTCCCAGCTGGGGGGACAGGTGAGCAGGGCCTGTGCTAGGCACCTCTAGGGGTCAGGTGAGCAGGCCCGTGCTGGGTACTGGAGGGGTGTTTGGTAGTAGCAGAAGTAGCGATAGCATCAGAACCTGTCTAACTTCAGAGGAGATAATGCAAATCAAGATCAACCCAAGGCTGATCCCTATGAGGTGGAGGTCAGACATACCTCCACTCTCCTTACCAATTCTGACACCAGCTGTCCCTCCCATGGTACTCTCTACTTCTCTTTTGGGTTCAGTAATCCATTGCAATGGCCACACAGAACTAACAGACCATACTTACAGTTAAGTGGTTTAATAGGAACAGGGTACACCTCAGGATCAGGATCAACAGGCTACACCTCAGGCTGAGGATCAGGAAGCATGCAGGCAAAATCTCCCTTTTTCGGTGCAGGTCAGCTCTCTCAGCTTCTCTCCACTGTGCAGGCCTCCTCTCAGCCCCCTGAGGACAGGCTCCTGTTGGCTTTGCCTCTGGGCCCCTTCCAGAGCTCTGGCTGTCTTCAGCATTACAGCTTTTTTAGGAAGTGCCTTTACTACCTCTCTCTGCTGCTTCTCTCTTCTTTCTGCTTCTCTTCCTGTTTCTCTAAAAATTCTGCCGGACTGGCTACTTTTATACACAAACTCCTTGTCAATTCCAAGGCATGGCCCTCCCACCTGGGCCAAGAACTGACCAATCCCCTCTTGGTAGGCTACAGATACTTCATTTGCATAGCCTATTGACCAATCCAGGGCAGGCTGCAGCCGAGGACCAGACAAAAGTACCCAAACCAAGTTGTTTACGATTTACCCAGGAAATGTAACAAACCCTCAGGGGTAGAAAACTAGGGCAAAGGTGACTCCTCAGGGTTTAGGGGGGAATCTCTCAAGCTGTGTTTCCAAAGAACTACAAGCCCACATCAAGGAACTCATTTCATCACACGGGGGACAGGTGAGCAGGCCCCTGCTGGGCACTAGATGGGGGGATAGGTGAGGGGTGACCCTGACCCATCGCCGCAGACCACGTGGTGTGTGAAGAGGAGTGCAAGTACGCCATGCTGGCCCTGAACTGCATCTGCCCGGCCACCTCCACCCTCATCACCCTGCTGGTGCACACCTCCCGCGGCCAGTGAGTGCATCTTGGCGGGGGGGGTGGCCGCTCAGGGCGGGAGGCGGGTAGGGGATATCCTGGGCGGAGGCGAGGGGCTGGCAGCCCCGCCCCGCCGAGGTGACCCCCGTCCCCGCCACAGGGAGGGGCAGGAGTCGCCGGAGCAGTGGCAGCGCATGTACGGCCGCTGCTCGGGAAACGAGGTCTACCACATCCGCATGGGCGACAGCAAGTTCTTTCGCGAGTACGAGGGCAAGAGCTTCACCTACGCCGCCTTCCACGCGCACAAGAAG